TGGGCCCGCATCATTTTGGTATTAGGCAAGATCAGGAAATTCAATAAGATGTGGTTGGTCAATGTTTGAGTTTGTTAATTTTAAATAGAAACATTCATCTATCAACATACTTATAAAGAATTTGGTGGATGGATTTATTAGTAGGTTGTTTGCACTATATATATATTATATATATTATATATATAATATATATATATATTATATATCATATATAAGGTGGTGACCGAACCAACCCCTACCCACGACTCCGCACGTCGCCGCCCAACAATCACTGATCATGTCCAAACGGTTGCATCAGTCGCGTAAAAAGACACAAAGACAGAAAGATTGGGATCTACGCTCACTGCAATAGGGATTCCTGTGAGAGCTCATTTTTTTCATGTTTCCTTCCAATGATCGTCCAGGACGAAGTTTGGATCGTCCGGGGACGATCGGTACAGGTTGTAAGGATTTCCTGCAAAGAAGTTCTCCCAGGCGAACTGGGGTTCGTCTGGACGAAATTTTTTTTCAGGAGCAACTTGTCCTGATACGATTATAATTCGTCACTGAACGAAATTCGTCCAGAAAGGACAAAATCGTCCCGGGATCGATCTGGGAATCGTGCGGGACGATTGCACTGGGTATTATGGAATCGAGATCTTTTTGACAGAGAGGAAAGCCCAGGAAAAAGCGAAGAAAAAGTGATTTTTTTGGGCGGCTTCTGTCCGTTTTTCCCTGTCCGTAAGCTTGCAGTTGAGGAATTGACAAACTTGAGGTAAGACACATTTCCGCCTTTCCTCCAATATTTCCAGAACAACGAGGATTTTGGGGGGAACGACTTTTCTGTTTCGGATTTTGTTTCCGTTGAAGTGAATAATTGATTCCATTTTTGTACTGATAAAGGGTTTTACCCCCCGCGATAACTTTTGGTATGTTTCTGAGGATGATAAATTGTGCACGCGTTTTGAATATTTTCTGGAATATTTTAGTCCGCTGGGTATTTTGAATTCTGTGGAGTTTTTGATCGAAATAAACAATTTTATTTATTCTGGATGTCTGAATTTACTTTCTCAGACAATGAAAGTCTTAGAATGATGTTTGTGTTACTATCTGTGGTAATCTTGGTAAATTTTCTGAATCTGTGAATTTGTGAAAATTTCCCCGTATACTGGCTGTCTGATGCTGCTAACATTTTCTGAACGTAATCCTGATTTTCATATTTGAATGAATTGTTGTGCTGTGATTCTAAAAGGAGTTATAAAGAGGTCAATCAATCGTTGAAGATTACTGTCAGTGTCAGGGAAGGGAGCACATAAGGGTGTCCAGAAATCCTGAAATTTTGTCAGTGTCAGGAATTGAGAAATATGAAATAAGTTATGTTATGAAAATTCAGTATATCTGTTGTTCTGGTGCTATAAGCACAAAGGGACATAAGGGGTCAGAATCTGAGATTCTGTCGTTGTCAGGGTAGGGGCATAAGGGGCGCCAGATCCGTCGAGATTCCCTGTCAGGGTCAGGGGATATCTGATATGTGATATGTGAAATGTCATATCTGAAATGCGATTTTTATATCTGATTTTGAAATCTGATGCGTACGATTCTGTCTGTTCTGTAACGATTCTGTTTTGTCTGTCTGTTCTGTGAAATTCCGACGTGAATATTCCTGTATGAAATGAATTCGGCTTTTCTGTATCAGTGGTTTGATTTCTGTTTGATCAAAGTCATCTGTATTATGTTGCTTATGCGATTTCTGTACGATTAATCTGAAATTCTGTACGACTATTTGATATCTGGCTTCTGATGGTTTTTTTCCTGATGTGAATTTCTGGAAGATTCGGATTGGTGATGTAGTTAGCTGAGCTGTTAGCTAATTCTTTGTTTTCTTGCGTGAACTTTGCAGGTTCTGGGAAGGGAAAGCAAGTCTTGTACCTAGAAGTTCTGTGTCTGATAGTGATTAGTATTTTGTACTTTTTTGATTTTGTACAGTCATGGCTTTCTGTTCTGTTTCTTTTTGTCTGTAGCCATGAACTGTAATTGTACATGATTATTTTGATGAAAGAAATATAGATGAACTGTCTGTATATTTTGGGAGTCTATAACAGCTCTGTGGTTTCTGTTTGTTTTAACATTTGGGAAGAAAAGTTCTGAAGCAAGTCCCCCAAACTAGATCCGATTTAAAGGTTTTTTAATTCCTCGGCGACCTCCAGATGCGAGCGGGATTCATTCTGGTCGGGTTGGGTCGTGACAAATTCCTGGCTGCTCTCTCGACCACTTCTTTGACTTCGCTCTCAGGCTCCTCTTAACTGCTTGAAATCAGAAACCTTGCTCTTGATTGCGACATCAAACACGCTTCAATCCTGCACTCGACCGTCAAGTGGGTCGCCTCCCTATAGATCTGAACGCCAACAGCACGCCGGCTCCTACATCCTACCAGCTCTATCACCTTCAATAAAAAATATAGGGGTGCCTATACCCTTCGCCCACAAGTAAAGAGACTGGACTTCTACCGACGAAAACGAGAAATATGAAAAGTAGGAAAGAACAAACTCTTACATTTCAAATAAAACTAAAAAGAAGAAATTACAACGACGACTTGCAAACTTAAAATTAAAGACGACACCCTAAAGTTGCTTCACTTAGAGAAGAGGGATACAGGTGGAGTGGCACTTGCGGAGAGACGAAAGAGGTTAGAAGCCCGAGAAGAAAGGTTAGAAAGAGCCCGCAGGATTTCCGGAGGGGATGAGAAAGAAGGGTGGAAAGAGCCCGCAGAATTTCCAAAGCAAACCCGCAGGTTAAAGCTTTTCCAAAAATAACATTTCATTCAACTTTTTTCAAACATTACAAATCCTCTCATATTTATAGGTATGAAAGAGGAATACCAAGAGACACATTACATTAATTCTAACACAAGAAACAAAGCACTAAACCCTAATGCTTTGCACGGAAAAACAGCCCAAGCCAAGGAACCGAAGAGGCACCCGCGGGAGCCAAGGAGGCCGAGCGGATCCAAGGGGCACGGCTACGGGAAAGAGCCCAGGCACGGGAAACCAGCAGCCGGCCGGAATCCAAGGGGGCAAAAGCACCTAGAAAAATTAAAAACCTTGGTGGAAACCAAGGAGTCATACATAGGAAGACTAAACAAATAACTTGGGATTCCAAATAGGGATTCCAAAAGCCCTATTTGGAATCCCAAAAGACATCATAAAGGAATACATTAAAAACTAAAATAAAAGTGCATAAAATAAAAGATAAATATGAGCTAAAAACTTAGCTAATAATGAGCTAACTTTTAGTTCCATTTAATGAACTAAAAACCAGCTCATAAATGAGCTAAAATTCCAGCTCAATTTTGATTAAGCATATAGACTCAAGGGAAGCCAAAATTCATATTATTTTGGACATGAGTTAACCCCCCTTTGTCTACATCAAGTTCTGATTATTTCCTTAGAACATAATAAGATGGTCATTTGCATGCTTCTATCATCTTTTCATTTGTACAATATTTTTTTTTTTCTACTAACTTGATAGCTACTAAAGAAGCCAGATATAAGATTCATGTACATGAATATATAGCTAGTCTAATTTATACATGTGTAGTCATGGCAATTTAGTTGCATAACATGGAATATATTATGCTGCAAAGTAACAAAAGATAAAACCTGTATTTACTGTGGTTGTTTCGTATCTTTTTCTCCACCTCCAAATTATATTTCTTTATAGGTCTCAAAGTATCTCCTCTCTCTTTTTTTTTTTTTTTTTTTTTTTTTTTTTTTTTTTTTTTTTTTTTTGTATCATTGGATTTTGTGGATTTACTATATGAACCACAGTTTCAATACTTCATTAAAAAAATTCTTGAACATACCAACAAAATGTTATTAGATTAAGCATCTAGGTTGTTCCAAATACTTTCTAGAAATTGAGTTTGCATACAGAAAAAAGAAGTTTAGGCCGCTGATTTTCTAAAAAAGACTAATCTTTTAGATTATTAACCTACCTTACACTCAGAATATTGTATACGAAAAAGAATTTCTTTGAGGATATTTCTCGTTATTGTAAATTGCTTAATACATTGATTTGTTTTACTAACACAATACATGATATCTCCTTTGACATCAAGAGTCACACATACAAACTCACAAACAGCAATATTAGGAAGTTCTTTTGTGTACTAAGGAGTTCACAGGAAAAGATAACTTTTTACCAAGATTGGGCACAGCAAAGTGGAGTTTTTTTCTAACACCAATTATATAGGTTAATTGATGATTGAAAATCTACATCAACGTGATGCATATAGGTTTTAAATCTATTAACGATGTCAAAGAAGTAAGAGTAATCAAAGCAACACGATACCTAAAATCAAAGTGAGTATTCATGTTCCTATATTATTTATGTTGCTTCTTCTAATTGCATTGCAAATGATTTATCATTTCAAATTAAATAATAATTAGCAATGTTATGTTTTACATTATGTAAATGAAATAGCTAAGATATATATGCTTGCATGTACATGTTGAATGATGGAGCACACCCCCTAATGGTACTAGTTGGAGATGCGTAATGTACTCATACACGCAAATGGAAAAGGTTATGAAAATGAAAAAAAGAGTATTTTCATTGCTACTATTTTAGACTGTGTCTCCTGTAACGGTTGTAATATTTATAAGATAAAAATATGAAATATGCATAACATTGATGAACATATTTAAAATGTTTAATTAAAATTACCTTAAATTTTGAGATGAGCATGCATATTATTCTCAATGTCATATGTTACTGTAATTTAAAAGAATGACGTGCTCACTGAGTTCTTTTATGACTCACTCCTATATTTATAAATGAATACAAGTATTCTTCGAAAGTTTAAAATGAGTAGAATAGAAGAGAATGTGTATTGTAGAAGCGACGATCCGAGGGAAAGATTATTATTATAATTTTTTTTATTTAGAGTTTTTTAGTAGCTCATTCAATTTATTGGAGATGGTTTTAGCAAATGAAAATTAAATTAACCGTCTGAACATCTGTTCCCGCCTCGTTAAGTCAAGCTTTCGGGCTAAGTCGTGACAAGAAACTTCTAGGAAAATTTGATTTTAATTATGCAACATATTATGTTAACCTTAGAAAATTGTGGTGCCAACAATATTTTTCAATAATATTGAATATCACTAAACCAAAAATATTGAAAAATGTCACTTTATTTAGAATGCAATGCTTTCCAATAAGATCATTACTACTCATATTCCCAACTCAGAGCAATTAGCAAATATATTTATCAAAATTTTGGGTCCACTCCAATTTTCTAGACTATGTAACAAACTGAAGCTAATTAATTTTCATACTCCATAATGAGTGATTGTTTGCATCAGCTTTTGCTAAGAAAAGTTTCCTTTTTTATATTAAGTAGACTATATTGGTGTCCTTCAGGACAATACATTCATTTATTTATTATAAATAATGAGTCGCCCTACTAAATAATACAAAAACGCCTATTTCACTCACATTAACTTTTTGTTTTGTCTTCAATAACATTTCCATAATTTAGCTGCCCAAGATTAAAAAGAAATAAAGCGCTACGAGGGACAAGCTACCTCTTACTCCATAAGAGTTTCAGTTTATCAGTAGAAAAAGTGAAAAACTATCAATTGCAAATAATAGGAAGTGACAATGTGAATGAGCAACCATTTCATGGTAGCCAAATATGTTTAAGGTGCAAGATACAAACCAAAAGTGTGCGCCCTCCATCATCATCTCCATTCAAAGCGTTATGTGTGTGAATCAATCTAATAGTATCATCCATTTCCTTCAGCTTAGAATTCATCAGCAGACTGAAATTGACGTTACATGCAACGAGTTAGACGAGTCATTCAGCAATATTGATCCAGGATAGAGTTGTCGAGAGAAATTGTAGGAATATACCTGTGACGACCAGCAATATGCCCAGCATGATCTAAACCCAAATAATGTAGAATCTGGAAGGTCAGAAGATGGCAAATATTAGATTTTTTTCATCACTATTAACAGTATTCCATCCATTCGTTATCCACTTCATGAATCATTATTCATCATTTATTCAAGTTGAGTGTCACGTTATGATCCTTTCTTCAGGTTAAGTGCCAATTAACGCTAGTTTAGGCAAGTCCTGAACAGTTATTTTACATTTCTTGAATAATGGAAGCCAACAAACCAAAAAGGTTTAAGCTAGGAGGTTGAGTTTAACTATAAGTCGTCATAGGTCCCCCTCAAGCATTTTATCTAGCATTGCATTGTGAACTAAGCTCAACAATTTGCAGATGAAACTAGGATGTATGTGAATTGATGTTGAAATAATTATGAATTTATCCCCATATACAGCAACACGGTGATTCAAGGACAGGTGATTCATGGAATAAACCTTTCATGTACATCAATCCCGAAATCCATTGACTAAAATTTTTCATCTACAGCAATCTAGCAATTTATGGGCATCAATATCCCATTTATATTATGTAGTTAATTTTGGATTCAACAAATAAACATTAATTTTCATATTTATTTCTTTACTTCATAAAATTTTCTTTACATATTTATTTATGACAATAACAACAACAACAAACATTTATCCCACTATGTGGGGTCAACTACATGAATCATTTTCTTCATTGTGTCCTGTTAAAAGTCAAATTCTCTGTTAAGTCTAATAAAGAAAGGTCATTTCTAATACTTTTCTAACCAAGTCTTTTTAGATCTACCTCTACCTTTCTTAACATAAGTCAAATATAATGCATCTACTTTCCTAACCGGGTCATCGGAAGACTGCCATTTTATGTGACCAAACCATCTAAGGCGGCTCTCTCTAATATTATCTGCCATTGGAGCTATACTCCAACCTTTCACGTATATGTTCATTTCATATCATGTCTCTAAGAGTAAAGCCACTCATCCACCTGAGCATCCTCATCTCTGCAACACTTAACTTAATATTATGTTTCTCTTTTAATGGCCAACATTCTGCACCATAAAGCATTGCAGATCTTACTACCATCTTATAGAATTTCCTCTTAAGTTTGAGAGGGAATTTTCTATCACATAACAAGCCCGATGCATTCCTCCACTTAAACCAACCAATTTGAATTCTACTAATAATACCCCCATCTATTTCACCATCATTCTAAACAATGGACCCAAGATATCTAAAACGTGTACTCTTATCAATAACTTGATCGCCCAAAGTCAATCCGTCCACTAGATCTATTATTACTAAAATTACACTCCATATATTCAATTTTAGATCTACTCAAATGAAAGCATTTAGACTCTAAGGTTGACCTCCTGCAAATGTCTAATGAGAACATCCATGACTAAAGCAAAAAGATATGGGCTTAAGGTTGATCCTTAATGTAATCCAACTGAAATAGGAAAATACTTGGTCAAACCACCTTGTGTTTGAACACAAGTAACAGCTCCTGCATACATATCCTTAATGACTTGCATATAAGCATTATTAACCTCTTTCTTATGTAGAACACTCCAAAGTACTTCTCTTGGAACTTTCTCATATGCTTTCTCCAAATCAATAAAAATCATATGTAAATTCTCCTTAGACTCTATACTTCTCCATCAAATCTCTCAATAAATGTATAGCTTCCATAGTGGATTCGATTTTGATAAACATTAGTGTCACGTCGCAACCTATACTCCATAAGACCATAACTCTCTCCCATAGTTTTAAAGTATGACACATTAACCTAATTCCTCTATGATTTGCACAATCTTGTGCATCATCATTATTCTTAAAAATAGAAATCAACACACTCGTACATATTTATGTATGACTACTGATCTTTTTTTTTTAACATAGAAGAAGGGAAAAAAATTAGTCATACAGTCTCCTATTTTCTACTCTCTTCTCTTCTCATTCTAATTTTCAAAATGATGTTAAAGCCACTAAGGTCCTTCAATAGAGAATCTCTCCAATCTGATAGGTTATTCACGAACATTGAAAGTCAAACTTTATACAATAAGAATGGAGAAAACACATGTGAAAACCTTTTAGAAACGAGATTGTTCGATTCTGAGGTCAACAAATAGTTCATTGACTCTTTATGAAGGATCGAAATAGTCCCCAACTATATTAAAGTACCATTTGAACCTCTTAAGTCTTTCCAGAGGAATCAAAAGTCTCATAATGGGACTATTTTGATTCCTCTTTAACGAGTTGATGGACCAAAATGATCTTTTAATATATGTGTGGGTCATTTTGGTCTTTTATAAAGAGTCAAAATACCATTTTGATCATTTTCTCTATTTACATACGATAATTTTGATAAGCGCGACCGAAACAGATTCCTTTACCCACTTAATGAATATTGCACGTGTCGGACATTACCTAAAAAAAAAAGCCATCAATTATCAAAGAAATATCAAAAATATGTAAATGAAATAATTCATTTTGGCAAAGTCCTCTCAATCAAATATGCTTGGTTAATCTACTCAACCAAGATCCATTGGATGACAAGCATAAAAGTAAAAAGTCAGCCGACAAGGTAAGAGGTATATTTGAATAAGACTCTCCACCTATGAATCACATGTCAATAGCCAAGACATCAAGGTCGTCTATTAATGTAGTCCAACAAGTATTGATAATAAGCATACTTGGAAAAAATAATCAACTGATCGTTTGGCATAAAAGAGTGATTGTTCACTCTCTAAATCAATGAAAAAGGGAAATGCTCAATCATTGAAATGAAACCATAATAACCAATTAAATTTTGGCATAAATAAAAATGTAAGACGGCTGTATAGTTAAATTTGGAGATGTGATCATATTAACATGACAATTGTAGAATAGATGGTAAACTATAATAGATATTGGTGGTTTTGGAATGAAAATGGAGGATAGAAGCTGTAACAATAAGACAGACACTAAAATAAAATAAAATAAACGTGTGTGGAAGTTGTGCAGAATGACTTCATAAAATAAACTCAATGCATCATGGAGCACTAAAAAGGAATAAAAGGATTAGAATGATTCATAAAAAGCTCAAAGGATGAAGCCAAAAAATATATATCCTTCTTATAACCAACACCAGAGTCAGGTTCTATCTAGAAACACGAATTATTACCATCAATTTCCAATCGTTAGCCACAAGTTCAACTTCCAAATGGCGAGAAACATTGAAATCAACCTCCACTGTGTCTTTCACCTAATTAAGATTAAAAGAAAGCATGAAAAGATAGTATCAAAATCCCATTACTGAGAAATAAGTAAGAACCACTATTACATTGACAAAATCATTCAGCCAAACTAGGTTTAAGAAATATCTTTCCAATTTTTTTGCCAGTTAAATAGATAAATTCAGTTTTAATTGCGCTAAATGATGTACTTAAATAACATTGTCTTTACTCAGAAGCATATAGTGCTTTGTGGGTTTGGAAATACGAAGTGATTGACGTTTCAACTATAAGATACACAATGGCAGACATAAGAAATAACCAATTGAACTTACGTGAAAGTTAGCAAAGAGTTGTTATGTGAAGAATTACAATATATAATCGCCATAATTTTTCAGAATCTGCACCTATACACAAATATGTGCACATAAAATAAATATGCATAAGAATGAATGCATGGCTAAGATGTGATTGGACATATTCATATGTATGCAATGTATATTAGTTCATGAATTTTTCATGCAACATCCCAATTTTAACCTTGATGTAATTTGTTCAAAATCTTCCATATATATATACATCATCTCCATTAACATACATGTGCTTCAAATTTTATTTTCTTAAGTTTTCCAAGGAATCCATTGAAAAGATCCAGGAAGTTGCTACAACAATATTATCGTTACTATGATTAGCCTTCAGTAGCATTGAAGCACTTATATTTGGAGTAATCAGTCTAAATAATGGATTGCTAGACAGTTCAAGATACTATTTCTAAATCAAACTACAACAAAGCAACAGCAAAATTGTCATGAAAATAAGAAAAAAAAAAGGAATTTTTAAACTTCTGAAGTAAGGCTTATCAGAAAAACAAGCCAGTAAATCAATATTCCATACGAAGCATCAGGTCTAACATTAGCAAGCGTGAAGTGGCATAAAATTTTGTCCTCGGATAAGCCTGACCATTTATCCTTAACATGCAATCCAAGATGCTGATTGATTGGCAAATATCACCAACTAATTTACCCATAAATTCTAATTCTTCTGGGTTTTGCCGGTTGACTCAGTGTGCTCTTCAAGCGTTGTAATGGCTTTCACTCATCTTTCTTTTCAATTATCTCTTGCTTTGCAACATTAATATTTTCTATTTGATGATCTTTCTTATTGTTGCATGGCGAAACATTTGCAGCGATATGCAGATAGACAGATATAGAGAGTTTAACATCCTATTTTTGCATGAAGACCCAGCATATATATGAACAAGAGAGTGCAAAAATTATAAGAGACACCAAAATTTTTACGTGAAAACCCAGAAAAGGCAAAACCTATGAGGCTTAGCCCAGTTAAAATGATTCCAATATTGTTTACCATTGGTTACAAATGATGTCCTCCTCATATGAAGTCGTAGTTGGGCGGCGATGATCTGAAAGACCGTAGTCAGGTAGCAGTGGTTGGAAGGACCATAGTCAGGTGGCACTAATCAGAAGGACAGTAGTCGAGAGGACTATAGTTGGGCAATAATGGCCAAAGGACTGTAGTCGAGCGATGAAGACTGGGGCACAGTAGTCAAGTGACAATAGGGGGGGAACATAGTCAGGCGATAGAGGTCAATCCCTACTCGGGCGACAAAGATCGGAGGATCAAACTTGGGCGATGGCGGTCTAAAGATCGTAGTCAGAAGATGGTTGTCAGAGAACCATAGTTGTGCAACAATGGTCGAAGGGCCGTAGTTGGGAGAAGGTGGTGGTCAGAGAATCGTAGTAGGCAGATGATGGACAGTAGAGGATCGTAGTTGAGCAACCGCGGTCAGCGTACCACAGTTTGCGGGCGACAGTGATCATAGGATCGTAGTTGGGAAGCAACAAAAGTCGGAATGATCGTAGTTGGAGGGAGACGATGGTCTAAGGACCGTAATCAGGTGGCAGTGATTTGAGGATCGTAGTCGGGCGATGGTGATCAGGTAGAACCGTATTCGGGAGACGGTGGTCGGAGGATTAAAGTCAGTCGATCATAGTCGGAGGACTGTAGTCGAGGTGACGGTGGTCGCAAGACCATTGTCAAGCAATGGTGGCCGGAGAACTGTAGTTGGGTGATGGTGCTTAGAGAACCGTAGTCGAGCAACAGTGATCGGAGGACCGTACACGACGGGTGATAGAGGTCAAAGGATCGTCGTTGGGCAGCGATGGTTAGAAGGACCTTAGTTGGGCGACAGGATTCAAGGACAACTACAATAGGGCAACAGTGGTCCAAGGACCTTAGTCAACAACTAGCAAAGGCTCAACAATGGCAATTGGATGATGGCCCAACAGTGGTGCTAGAGTGGTGGTTCGAGATCCTTAGAGCCTTAAAGCTCTCTTTAATCTTAAGAGAAAGTTCAGGCTCCATCTCCGAGCTCCTCCCCCTACATGCAATGGCCTAGGGGGGTTAACATTTTGAAAGTGGCACGCCCCATAGATATGTTGAAAAGTCTGAACACTCCATCGAACAACTCATATTAATTCACTTGATCATAAAATATTTATTCAGCATTTGATTTTCTTAATGATGTCATAATTAAGTAATCTTTGGCTTGTTGGATTTGTCTCATCTAGCAACTCAATTTGATTATAAGCATGCCAAATTTGGAGATCATTTGGTCATCTAATTAATATCTTGAAGTTTCTATTTATGCTTATAGCCCTTGATTTAGGCTCATTTAAGCTTCAGATTGGACCACTCATGGTATCGATGGATTCATTTAGTTGAGACGTTCAGTTCGACTATAGGTTTGTTGAAATTAGAATTCGGATGATCTTGAATTTAATTTAAAAATTTTCAATTTAAATATGCCTTGAGATTCGTGCCTGATCAAGGCAATTTTTATGATGTATCACTTATAAAGGAAAAATGTATACTCAAAAATTTTGGTCAATTGGGCTTGTTCAATCAAGCCAAAGGTCTAATCGAATAATAATTATCAAAATTGAACTTAAAGAATCTTTAATAACTAGACATGGCCCTAAAAATTTAAAAAAATATTAATAATTTAATATTTGAGATTAACTATCCTTTTTAATTAAGTTTAATTAATTTAATTAAACTCTTAAACATCATATTGATCATATAATTAAATAGTTCATTATCCATATTCTTACTTTCATGATTTTGAACCATTTTAAATAATTTAAGTTAAGTAAAAAGGGGAGTATAACTTAATGGGTTGTACTTGACCCTACTTTGACTCTTTGATGATCATTTTCGCCAAACCCAAAGGAATCCCTTGGCCATGCCAACTCTATCCTAGTGGCCCAACAATCGCACATGATCAAGATCGCTATAAGAAAGAGAGCACCATATCCTATATGCACCCTTGCCTAAAAACGACATGCCCAATCTCCATTACATAGCCACGATCACAACTCTTATAAACGAGAGCACATTTCTCAATCTCTAGCTCTTTTCCCTAACATTTGTGACTTTCTCTCTCAGGCCTCTCAGAGAATACTCCCATGTACTTGTGCCCTCTCTCTCTACGCCTATTACTTGACGCCTTGGGCCTTACACACACCCTACTTGACATCTCCCCACATCCTATCCTACACCCAAAGTTGCTCAACTCCTACTCCATCCATTGTGATTTGTCACTTCATCCCTAGATTGCGCATGTCCACACTTAAGAGTGCAAACGAGTTAAGTTGAGCTCGAGTCATGCCTTACTCGAGCTCAACTCACCAGCCAAATCATGAGGTTGAACTCGAGTCAACCTAAAAAGACAAGCTCGAACTCGAGTATAGCTTAAAGGGCGAGCTCGAGCTCGGCTCGTGTCAACAAAAACGAGCTTGTGAGATCTTGGCAAAAGCAGCAAAGAAGGCAAGAACGTGTGCCACCGAAGAAGGAGAATTGTCTACTGCATGAAAAGAAGTTGATTTTTACTACATAATAACCTAGGATATTAAAAAGTAAAAAATTCCCACCAAACTGAATTCCTTGCTCTTTTGATGAATGTAAGCTTGCTTAGTAAACTTGTGTCAAATCTTATGCTAAGAAACCCATCAATTAAAAAAATCGTCCAAATAAAAAAATCCTATCTTAAAACGCTTCTTTGAGTCAAGATGAAAATTGGAAAATTGATAGTCATGTCATGTCTTTGAGTAGGGGTATTTAAACGGGCAAATGAGTCGAGTTTGGGTCGGTCCAACCCCAATTCGACCAGTTTAATAAACATGTCAAACATGTGAACCCAAACGTGACTAGCTAGCAACCCGAAAGACTCGAACCCAATAACATGATAGCATGTTTTGATATTATTTAAAAAAAAAAAGATTATAACTTTTTAACAATATATTTTAGATTAATTAATTAAAAAATAAGACAATTTTATCACCAAATAAATAAATTAAAGAAAAAAATAATTTAAGCCGGTCAAAATTCCAGGCACGAATCCGACTAGTTTATTAAATGGGTCAACCCGAATCTGATTTTTTGTCGGGTTTGGGTCGCATCATTTTTTGAAACCCCTATCTTTGAGTTCTTATTAATCATGTCCTGAGCCTCTAAACCATAAGTGGTTATATTGTGTACATCTAAACTATTAAATGAAACTAGCATGGCAGACCCTATGCTAGTAAATGTGTGAATATTAACCCTGAAAGCACATCTTTCATATGACCACTTATGGTTTTCAGGGTTTAGAGGAACACGATATGAAAGACGTGTTTTCAGGGTTGAAATTCCCTCGCGCTATGCTAATCTTGATTATGATTGATTATTCATGATTCTAATGCTTACATGTAATTTGACCTAGGCTTTAATCATCTCTCTATTGTTTAATACTTGTTTAAATTGCTAAAAGCTAACGTAATTATTATTACTCTAATTCAAAGGCGTGTAATTTTAACATTACATAATTTTTCCTGCATTTAGTTCTACATCATTAAACCTTATATTAGAATTGTTTATCTCTTTGAGCATTTAGCTCATCAGATATTTTGATAATTATTTTTCAGGAAAAAGAAAGGATTAAGTGGGACCATAGGCAGGTGACCCAACTTATTTAGGTATTGTTGTATTATGGATGGGTGTACAGTTTTGGGATATATTATAGGAAAAATATATATTATGCAAATTAAATACTTCTAATATGTATAAGTTTGTTATGAAAGTATCACAAGTTCTATAATTTATTTTGATAATTTAAATTATCCATACTTCCATATCATTGAGTATGATAAATCAGTTAAAATATGATATATAGTTTATGATGATCTAGCCAAGGTACTTCTCACTAGCTCAATTTTAATTAGTAAAGTCAGTTTAGGCGTCGGTGAAAAATGTGTCTGACTAGATTATTCGCCTCTATCACGCCTCATGTTGATTGGAAGAGGGGTCAACATAGGACTTGACACTAGAATATCCATCCTAGAACCTTCCCCTACTACTTGCAAAATGCTTCAGAAAATGGAACTCTCTATTCAACATCAACCATATCATGACTTTTCGTGCTCAAAATAGCAAAGTTATGTTGGTCTTTTCTCAAACCTTGTGCTTTATTATGACTATGGTATGGCCATTATGAAATATATTCTTATATTAGTTAAAAGTTTGAGAAAGCAGTATTTCAATTATGATCATGTCAAAAATTTGCTAAAGCAACGCTTATCTTGATTTGAAATGCAAAAACTACTTCTCATGTGGTTGTTTTTTTATAGGAAAAATGTGCGCCATTGCAGAATATTGAATTATTTTTTCGGGAATTATATACGGGTAGCATCCATTACCTCCAAACAGAAACAATTCTCTAATTCACAAAGTCAAGGACGATCAAAAGAGAAAACAAATACAAAGGAATAGCCGAAAAAATAAAACATCCACATAGCAATGCAAATTAAGCTTCGCAGGCAGAGAACTTCAACTTAAGCTTAAGAGTTGTTGATTAAATTCCAATGAAATTTTCCACTTGAGCAAAAAGAAACTTGGACATGCAAATAAACTGATGCCTCTGAACATATACGTATGAAGATTTTCTCACATAATTATACTGCTGAAGAGAAATATTTTTTCATCACTTCTAAAAAATGTTCTTCTGATAAAATTATCTTCGCAGATTTTCTATCTGCACTAGGTGCTTGCATACGTCTAGTGATCAGAAAATGGAAGTACAAACTTACATAAAAACTGTTGACTCCATCATATCTTCTAAACAAACTAGGAAATAACTTAATCCATGTGTCATCACCAAACATAACCAACTTCCAACCAATCTGATAAAATTGATCTGAAAAGAAGATGCACTTCGAGTCAAGTCACCAAACTTCCAATGCAACATATAACCATGCAATAATGTAACTAACCAAGAAGATTGTCATCCAAAAATGCCTGAGTGTTAAAATTAAATGCCACATCAAGAAATCCTCCAATTGCCCCTGATATCATAGCCTGAAAGTCAAAGAACGCTGTTGGTATCAGAAAAATCACCCATAAAAATCATTTTCTCCAACAAAGATCATACTTTTAAACGAGGCATTGTCACTGTAGGTGGAGCAGCTTTAGCATGGAAAGCTATTGCCCTTCTTTCAGAAAGCAAAAATTGCGTATATGGCATTGCCTCCATCAAAGACTTCTCTGGAGGCTGGCCACCTTTTCCAAGCACAAACTCAGCAGGTAAACCATCAATGACCTAATTTGGCATAGGTCAATAAAAAGTGAAATTATGTCACATTTGCAAGCAATAGACATGTACTTTGTTCATAAAAATAAAACTTATGTTTTTTAATGTACTTCAACAACATACCATCAAAATCATTCGATCAAATGCAGGAGGAATTTGAGATAAATCCTGTCAAATTTTAAAAATAAAAATAAACAAATAATCAGGATGGCTGGTGACCATTGATATTGAGGGGGACAATAGCATAATCAAGAATAAGCTTTTTTTGCATTATTTTAAAGAGAGGGACTCCGTATTACCTACCCATCAATCGCCATGTACAATATCAGGCAAATAGATACTACAAACAAATATTAACAAGCACAAATTTTTTTTACTGCTCTCTAACAATAACGGTGCTTTTTATTTCAGCATCCTGCTAGTGCATTTCACTTATTCCTATTATATTTATATGCATCGCCAACAAAAAAAGCACTATGAATCCCAGCAATTCTCTTTCAAAGTATCTGAGCCATGAAAAAGGGAGCAAAATGACTAAAACTAGCAATACAGCAAGGGATCTCACCTAGCATGCAATCTTATCCCTTTTTTTAGCTTAACAGAACCAAATTAATAAAGAAAATCATCAAATAACCTTCAAGATAGGCTCCAAAATCTGTCATTGACCAATAAATCTCAATTTATCTCCAATTACCACTATAAATAGCATTTGATATAGGAATCCTAGAAACAAGTGTGCTAAGTAATGCAAACCTTTATAGGCGTGGCACATGGTTTCAAGGACATGTTACTGTTCCAAGGATTCTTAAGGGACTTGTAATTGATCTACTTCATTATAGACCTTCCAAGTACATATTAAGGCTCCAATAGCTTTTGCAATGACTTGCAACTCATCATAATTACTAATAGACCTGCTAAAATATAGAACCCTATGGTGAAGATGGATGATTTCTCACAATCAGACAAAACAAATACTTCCCTTTTGTTCTACATGATTAGATATTTTACAAAAACAATATCTAAACATGTAAGATTCCGAAATCACTCAGCCTTTCTAGTATTTTTCCTCCACCAAACCTTGAAAGTCTAAGCCAGCAAAGTCTTTTTCTCATACATCTTCATAGTTCAAAATTTCAAATCATTTTTCTTCCTACCAATTCAGTCAGTTCGATCGACCAACAAGGGTATTGGAGAAAGGGGAGATTGCTGAAGGAAAACTATACCTTCCCAAACAATGTAATCCATCTTATATACGGTAAATTATTTTTAAACCCACAGAAGGCAATAGCAAACCATGATTTCCATTGTTTTGCTCCCTCCAGAGATGCAAGCCTATCTTTAAGTAAAACTACATGATTTCACTTTCCTTTAACTCGACTCAAAGCACACTGGCATATTCCACATCAAATTCGGAACTTCTAACATAACATAAAACTAAAAAAATTATCAAGTCGTTTGGTTCAGCTTTATTCAACTGTCATTGTTATTATAATGACAGTATTGTTCCACAAATTCTGTGTGTGTGGTTCAGTGTCTTGAATAGTTAGGATAGGGCTAATAATGATGATGATGCTATCTGTGAACAGTAATGTATTTGATTCAGCATTTAGATAAGTCTGACATCTACAAGTGGGCTCAGCTATATCTAAATGTCATCAAAATACAAGTTAAAAATTCCAATTGTTAAGACGCCAATCTACCAAACCTTGATATATGTTAATTGCGTAGCATGGCAATTTAATATAAAGTCAAAGTACATTAGATAATTCACAAAGCCGGCACGAACCATATACATTTTGGCCAGCTGATCTGGAAGCAGATCCCTTCTTTCATCTACCAGCACATCTTCACAAGTTGGCATCCGATAGCTCTCTGGCCCGCTGAAGCCAACGCCAATAAGAAACCAATCAAGCCATCTTTCAAAAGGGAGAGATAGAGAGAGAGCTTAACCTGAAACCCGGAACAGTTGGCTTAACGGGGAAGAAGCCGCTTACGAAGAGCCAGAGACCTAGAATCTGAAGCAGGACAGCAGCAGAAATCCAACTTACCAGTCTCCCACAGGACATCGAGGAGGTGGCCATGCGATTTGACAAAGCAGAAACCTAGGGTATTTGATCACACGGATGTGAGCTTGCAATGTTCAGTACCATGGTGCTTCGTTTGAGCTTGAAGCGCAATTAGGTTAGAAGCTTAAATGCCAGTAGTGAGACCAGAAGCGGCGGTTCAAGGAAAGCGCTGGAAACTAGAGGAAAAAGCCGCCAAAGCCTAATTACCAAAATAATAAACATCTGATGCATGAAAAAAAAAAATTTATTGTGTTCTACTAAATTTTAAATTTTTATTTATATTTAATAAAAAATATTTTAATTTTTTTAATCATTATTTTTAACTATTTTTATCTTTTAAATATAAACAGATCTGATATATTTTGTGATTTGAACTTATCTTTTTTAATATGATCACTAATTGCAAAAAATATATAAGCTAACATTTGAGGTTGGTGAATTCCATATGAACACATCAAATCATTCAATTCAAAAAATCAGATTAAGTCAGAAAAATCGTCAGCGACATAACGGCAGTATACGGAAATTCCACAGAATTCACAATTTCAGAAATTTACCAAATTACCACATATAGTACAAAACAACATTATAAGACTTTCATTGTACTGAAGTAACATATTTCAACATATAGATAATTCGTTATTCGATTAAAACACCGCAGAATTCAAAATACCCGATAAAAATCTTTCAGAAAATGCTCAAAACGTGCAAAAACATCATCTCAGAAACATATCAAAAGTTACATGGTAAAAAGTTTACCAGAACGAAATGATACCAGATTTTCGCTAACGAAAATCGAATTTGAAACAGAAACGTCGTCAAAATCTATATTTCTGAAAATAGAGAAAGACATGATGTGTCTTACCTCAAGTTGAACAACTTTCCCAACTACGGCGACGGACGAAAACGGACCGAAGACGCCCAAAAATCGCTTTTTTCTTCTTTTTCCTTCGATTTTCTCTTCTAGGCTTTTTCTCTCTCTTCAAAAATATCTCAATCATATATATACACATGCAGATCGTCCTGGACGATGTATTCGTCCACGATGTATTCGTCCAGGGATGATTTCTTCTCTGAAAAATTTCGTTCAAACGAAGTGTATTCGTTCCTGTACGACTTGCTCCCTGGACAAATTTCGTACATACGAACCAAATTTCGTCCTGGGACGAACCTCCCAGTTCACAAATCCTGTACTGATCGTCCCGGACGATCTTGGAAGGAAAAATTGAAAATGAGCCTTCACATCTTAATGCCTATGAGTGCAAGCCCTCATATTTAATAACCCCTCTCGCTTTCTAGGAGAGAACTCTTGATTAATGATAAGTCACTTTTGCATAGCTTTGAAATTTTAAGTTTTTGTTACATTTATGAGGGTATAAATAGACCCGATCAAGATGTTTGGGTTTCATTATCCTAAGCATATCATTTATCTCAATCTACAATCTCTAATAACCTATTGGTTGCAGCGTCCAGGAAATCTGATTTGCAATCATAGGTTGTACCTTCTCATGGATCCGGAGTAGAATGAGGTAGTTAGATGTTAGTTTTGGTTTTATTATGGTTTATGTTTTGGGTCTTATATTTGTTATAATGTACGTTAATTTATGTAGTTTGTCAGTTATTTCTCTTTATGGAGTTATCTAGTAGTTTGTCTTGGATTGGGGCTTACATCTCTTCTTAGGAGTAGTTTGGTAGTTTTGTGTTTAAATATGACTTACAGGTCTGCTTAGGAGTTGTCCGTTATATTTGTTTCAGATGGGACTTATTGCTCAACTTAGGAGTTGTGTGGTAGTTCGAGTTGGAATGGGTCTTACTACTTTATTTAGGAGTTACCCGGGGGTTTAGATTTAGGACTGGGCTTATGGCTCTATCTAGGAGTTACCCGATAGTTTAGTTTAGGATGGAGCTTACTACTTCGCTTAGTATTTTTTTTTTTTTAACTTCGCTTAGAATTGCTCGTTTATTTAATGTAAAATAGGACTTATGGTTTCAATCAGAATTTGCATTTACTTGATTTAAAATAGAGAATATGGTTTAAATTAGAAGTTGCTTGTAATTTTGATTTAGAATTGGACTTATGACTTCAATTGGAAGTTGCATGTAAATTTGATTTAGAATATAACTTACAAATTCAATAAAAAGATACTTATTAGTTTTATTTGAGGGTAGGACTTATGACCCAACTTAGAATTGCCTGTATATTTAGTTAGAGATATGGCTTACTATTTCACCTAGAAGTGCCCTAATTTGACTTAGTGTTTGTTGCTTCATTTAGAAACTTCCCTAACAAATTGGTTAAAGTAGGTCTTAATGTTGTTCACTCAAGAAAGATGATGCTTGAGCATGTACTCCATATTTGCAAGCTTTGGGTTTCATTTTTTTAAGGTAGATATATTGAATTTTAATTAAGCAAATTTTCCATGATGACTATGTCAGGATTTATTTAGTTTTGGGTCTCTGCTTCATATGAGCACAAACCCTCATAGTTAATTATCCTTAATTTCTATCACGTAAAAGAGAAATATCTTGATAACTTTAGAAGTTTAAATGTTTTAGTCTCAATTATGGGGGATGGACATAGACCTGGTAAATAACACATGGTTTTGTCATTCCGGGAATACCGTAGGTTTCAACCTACTAACACTCACAATCATTATTCATAATGTCCAAAGAATCTTATTAGTAGCTATATATGGATTGCCTCCTCTCATGTATTCTAAATAAATTGGAGTGATTAGATGTGGGTTTTAGTGTTATGATGGGTTGTGGCTTACTGCTCCACTTAGGAGTTGCCCTTATGTTTGAATTAGGTCGGGACTTACGACTCCAGTTAGGAGTTGCATGTATATTTGATTTATGTTGGGGTTTACGGCTCCACTTAAGAATTTCCCGAATGTTTGATTTAAAATAAAACTTACTTCTTCCCTTATAAGTAGTCTATTAATTTTGGTTGGGGGTCAGGGGTCTAACACTTCTCTTAGAAGTTTCCCGAAGAGCATGTCTTAAAGTTTCAATTGAAATTTGCCTGATAATTTCAACTTAGGGCAGATCGAACAACAATTAATACTTAGGCTTCGTTTGGGACGGCTTTTTTATTGCTTTCTAAAACGGAGTTTTAGTACAATTTTTTTTTAATTTTGTACTAAAACTCCGTTTTAGAAAGCAATAAAAAAGCCGTCCAAACGAAGCCTTAATCTACACTTTTCTACTATCCCAACACTTTTTTTTTTCTCTTTAGTCGTGTTCCTTTTGCTTCAACGTTACTATTGTAGTTTAGTCCTATTTTTAGCACGATTGTTTTGTTACAGCATTAAATTGGTTCTTGTTTACTTGTTTGCAAGTATTGGAGCCAACGTAGGAGGGAGCTTGCTAGGGTTGGAGCTTTGCTTAGAGTTTGTAGTTTAGTAGCTTACTCAGTTTGACTGTGATTTTGATTGAGAGTTTGTAGTCTTGCTCCTCGTTTTACTTAGAATCTAATATGTAGTTATTATTTATTTTTTAGTTTGACTTTGCTAGACTATTGCACAAGAGTTGATTCTAGTGCAAGCAATACTTTATGCTTTCTTTTAATTGTTTTCTTAATTGAACTATATTTTAGTTCATTGCACTTTTAAATTAATTGAATTAGTTAATTAATCTAAAGGAAGTTAATTTGCTGTATCTTAAATATATCGATTAATTAATTAATTAATTTTTTTATTTATTTTAAAATTAAGATTTAATCAGAAAATTTGTTAACCAATTAATTAGTAAAATCATGATTTAATTTAATTAATTTATTAATCAACTTTTTAGCATATTATGCATGTTGAGTAGGGATGTAAATATTTGACACGACACGAAAATCCGACCCGAAAATTTCGGGTTCGAGTTTTCGACCCGTTTGAAAAACCGGGTCGGGTTCGGGCTGCCGCTGGAAGCCGGACGTCGATGCCGCCGAACGCTGCTGCCGCGCTGAAGGCTCGTTGCCGCCGGACGTCACTGTCGGCGATGCCGTGAAGGCGTGAAGCTGCTCCCGGCCTTGCCATGTCCGCGGGTCGGGTCGGTTTGACCCGAACCCGAAGCGGGTTGGGTTCGGGTCCGGTAAATCAACCCGTTTGTAAAAACGGGTAGGGTTCGGGATGACCCGAATAGTGCTGGGTCATTTCCGGGTTCGACCCAAACCCGACCCATGACCCGAAATTGACACCCCTAATGTTGAGTCATTGAGTATTTGTGGCAATAGAGAAAAATAAAGTTTAGGGTCTTAGCGTTGTACGAAGATCCAGCATGCAATCATATAAAAATAGGGTGCAATATTCATAAGAGACACCAAGATTTTTATGTGAAATTTTTTGAAAAGGGAAAAAACCATGGGATTTAGCCCAATTTGAATTAATCCACTAGTATTTGCAGTTGATTACAAATGAGGTTCTTCATTGGAAGGAAGGCTCTAGCTTTATGTAACAAATATACATCATATAAAGTGTGTTACATGATTGAAATTGGAAGAATCACTGTTAACGTGTTCACTTGGTCGAAAGGGTCGTAGTCGGTGGGCGACATAAGTCGGAAGGATTGTAGTCGGTGGACGGCGTAAGTCAAAAGGACTGTAGTCGGCGGGCAACGGAGGTCATAAAGACCGTTGTCTGATAATGGAGGTTGGAAGGACGGCGTCAGGTAGAAGTCCAGTGATGGACATAAGTCCAGAGTCGGATAGAAGTTCGCCAAATGTCTGGATGGAGACAAGCAGGAATCCGACAACGGGCGCAAGTCCGGAGTTGGATAGAAGTCTGTCGATGGACAAAAGTCTGGCGTCAGATAGAAGTACGACGAAAGTCCGGCGACGGATAGAAGTCCGAAGAGGGGCAAAAGTCCGACGTCGTGTAGAAATTTGGCGACGAGCGAAGGTCCAACATCTGGTAGAAGTCCAACATCAGTCGGCGGTCGAGCAAAACTCCGGCGTCAAATGGCATTCGGGCAGAATTCCGGCATCGGTAGGCTACCGAGTGGAAGTCAGGCGGTGGTCGAGGAAGAGTCTGGTTAAAGGAGAACTTTCTTTTTTCTCTTCCTTTTTCTTCCTTCTATTATTGCTTCCTTGCTTAATTTTAGCTTCAGTTGGTGATCTGGCAGAAGTCCGACGTCGGTCGGCTACCGGGTGAAAGTCCGACGGTGGTTGAGGAGTCTCTTCCTTATCTTCCTTGCTTCATTCTCTCCTCTTCTTGCTTGGGCCTTCGGGTCCCTCGCTATGACAAATGCAGGGTCCATTTCTAATTTTCTGAGAGTGGCATGACCAATAAATAAAGATGAGACGAGGGGCAAGTTGGGAGTGGTTTGAGTCAGTTTGCTAGCATGTTTGGGTTTGTTTGAGTTTTGTGTGGAATTTTTTTTTTTTTTTTTTAGTTTGTTTAGAGTTTTGTTTGGTGTAGATTGTATTTAGTTTTGGCATGTTGTATTGATCATTTTAGTTCCAAAATTCTCTCATTTCCCTAGCACCAACAGGAGTAGACGGTGACGTAGGCAGGGGGCCATGCGGGCGCGAGTCCGTGTCAAACTGAGACGTGAGAGCAAACAATGCGACGTTGTATGAAGAAGCAGACAGACGAGCGACAAACCAACAAATTGAGTGCCAATTCTTTTGTTTTTTCTCATTTATCCGCTGTTATGTATAAACAAACGAGTGCATTGCTTCGTGAAATGATGCACCTATTTGATTTTTGCCTCAACAAATAACATCAAATTAAAAAAAATGATGCCCATGAAAAAATAAAAAGCGTTTACAAGTCATATTCTTCTAACGAAGGCATGCAAGCCATGAAAAATACCATTGTAATTGACGGAAATGCCAACCTTTTTTCTGCTGTCAAAAGTACAAAAGAAGAGCAAAAATGGCATCATCAGAAGGGCCCAACCGGGTTCGAACCGGTGACCTATTGATCTGCAGTCAATTGCTCTACCACTGAGCTATGGACCCATTACCACTACTATTTTGAAAAAATACCAATAAATACTATATTTCTCGGTTGATTGACTTTCTCCATTAAAATAGTTATAGAAAATTATAAAGGAGAAAAGTTCTACGGATATATATTTTTAACATTGGTTTTATTATATAAAACAACAGCAAATGTTTTATTGTGATGATTTATTATTATTTTTAATTTAGGTGTCATTTGCAATTCATTATCAACGACTCCAATGCCTCTCTTAGATTTTTAATGAGCTCAAATAGTTCTCTCTCAATTGCGTTATATAACTTAGTTATTCCCTTATTTTATTCCGTTCAATAGATTTGTTTTGAATGATATTTTTAATTTTGTGTTATGTAAATTAATAAAAGCTATTCTCATGAATTAATCAAACATAATCAGGAATGATACGTTACCAACAAAATAAAAAACATCTTGATCCAGCACGAATCTAAAATGCGGGATCATTCAAACTCTAATTTCAGAAAACATTTAGCAAAACTGAACATTTCAAAGAGACAAGCCAAACAACATCAAAATCGGTTCAACTTGAAATCAAATGGGTCCAAATCAGGGGCCCAAAGAACATTCATAATGTTCAAAGCATAAATTACATGATTAAATGATATCCAAATGTAGCATGCTTATAATTGAATGGAGCGGCTCAACGAGATAAATCCAACTAGCCCAAGAACGCTTGATTCCAACATTGTTATGGCTTAAATGCTCGATGAACGCTCTATAATTGAGGGAATCTATATGAGACGTCTGATTGACAACTCCGATTTTGTCTTGGATTTTCTTCATATTTATGGAGCAAGCTAATCTAAAAAAACTATAAATAAATCATCACTTTCTACATGGATGGGGACTTGGAGTTTGGACATTTGGTTGGAAATTTAAGATAGCTCTATGGCTCCAAGGATCTAAAGTTTCACCCAAACACCATCATTGGCAAACCTGTGTCTACCGGCGCTGGACCATGTTATATTGACAGTTGGTAATAGCATTCCTGATGTTCTTATTGCTTATATAATTGCCCCTATTACTTCTGATAAGATAAAAAAGGTGGTTTTTTTTTGTCCTACTTTACTACGAATCCTAATTGTTTTGCCTTTGAGTTTTTTAAGAACTCTTGGGGTATTCTGGGAACTTATTTTTGTAAAGCGGTTCTGCATTTCTTTAAAATTGGGTATATGTGTAGGGTTGTTAAAGCCACTTATATTGCTCTTATTCCTAAGCATGTTAATGCCTCTCAAGTTTCTAATTTTAGGACTATTTCTTTACGTAATGTCATTTATAAAATGTGTCAAAAATTTTAGCTAACAGAATACAGGGTGTTATGCCTTTTATTGCTCACTCTAGTCAATCTTGTTTTATTAAAAAGAGGATTTTAACTAATAATATTTTCCTTGTTTTAAAATTATTAAGAGATTTTAACTGCTTGGGTAAAGAAAAATTTATGTGTGCAAAATTGGATATTCATAAGGCATTTGATATTGTCTCTAGAGACAGAAATTTTATATTATATTGATAATAAAATAATTTCTCAACTTTTTAGAATATGAAGAGTACACGTTATAAATTATAAGTTATTTAGTATATTATATTTAATATTATACATTTTTTAATAACAATTGAGTTTTTTTTTCCTATGTCGGTTCCAAGCCTAGATGAAGAAAGTCGTGAAAAATTTTTAATAACAAAATTTAGCTCCCCCCCTCAATAAATTTTTTTTGGCTTCGCCACTGATTTACATGTATTATTTTCTAACTAACTGCATTTATAATTCTCTTCTCGTTCATTCTTATGCAAGTCATCATTACTCTTTTTAAGCCCAAAAAATAATCAGATATAAAACTTGTGGCCTTTGAAATGCCATAACACATATTATTAGTAGACTCGCTACACTATGTGGATATAACGTCCATGCAATTTTTTTTTTAATGTTGTTGATCACTTATTCCTTATCCAATAAAAATCCTCAAACCAAACATAGCAATAGAGGTTCACTTCTGTGATTATTTCAAACCATGTTTTCTCAAACTCTTCCTTAGATTCATACTTACTTAAACACTTATATAATAGTCCTCTGTCTTTGTTGTTGTTATTGAAGCATCAAACTTTTGGGAAAACCGTTTTAGAGATGTGTCATTGACATATTCTATGATTATTGTGAGGTAAATAAACTTCTATGGCTCTATGATCATAAAAATTGTTTTCTATGACAAGAAGACCACCCTAGTAGAATATTCAACAAATGATTATTGATCGTGATAAATAGCATGCAAATTAAATTATATTTATTGACCCTATAACAAGTATAAACAATCACCACATTCTCCAAATAGTCATAATCTATCATACTCATCCTATCAACCCAAAAAAAGTAACAATCTATTAAATTCATCAATTTGTATGTTCCATGATAACATGTTGTTATCAACTTAACGATCTTTAAATAATTGAATCAAAGTATTAGTGTCTCTAAATTCAGTCTTTGCTCTTTTCTCTTTCTAAATAAAGTTGTATGCATCCCTATTAGAAATTCCAACATTCTCGATACCTCCAATTCCATCTACAAGGTAGGAGAATGCATCAATAATTATTATCCTAGCTTTTGTATTTATTTAATAGCTAAAGCTTTTTCATCACAAATATTTCTACATGCTCTTTGTGGATGTCCGTCTTCTTGCCTAGCCAAATTATGATTGTATCTTTTAATAAAATATTTCACATTCCAATTTACAACTTTATCTATTATAAACCTAATCATAACTAAATAACCTATTATGGTATCTGATTTTTGATATTTTATTTTGGAATTCAAATCAATATCATTCTTGAAACCTGATTTTGAGCTGACAAAGTCCTTGCACATTATATTTATGGAACTTGGCTAGTAACTGTGATTGTCATTTCAAACACTAAACCATGCATTATGGGAAAACCATGCATTATGGGCATAACTGCAAAAAATCTCGTATGCCTCTTTCTCATTCTTATACATACCCTAGTATAAAAGTAAATATACAACATGTAAAAAAAAACAAATTCGCTCTGAAAACATATAAAATATGCAGTTGACACTCAACAAATATATATTAAATACACAACAAATACTCAGAAAATGCTCAACAAATATTGAGCCAATACTCAATAAATATGGAACAAATATACAATCAATATGCATTGAATACACAGTTGATACAAAGTGAAAACACAATGAATAGGCAGCGAATACCCAATAAATACGCAATTCAAAATAGATTCACAAATGAACTCATGGATATTTGACACTGTTCATAAAAAACATGTACAAAGTAAAAGACAATGAATTAAATATTTTGTACATTGTGGCTACAAGCTTCTATACAATTTATCTACATCGTGTTTTGACTGTCTAAAAGCTTGTTTAAAGGACGAGTTTGAACTTCACTGATAAGTTGAATCCTATGGCACCTTCAACCAAAGTAACTTCCGCTTCATACCCTAAACCTATCATTCATTAAAGCTTCAACTTTTTCAACTTAAAGTCTTCCTCTTCCTGAACATTTGCATGCCGCATTTCGGCCTCTGCCTCCTGTGGGCATATGACTTGCTCCAAAAAATGCAACGTACTCCTCCAAATTAATCTTCATATTCATCAAATTTTTATATTTTCCTTTTTCTTTCTTAGCATATAAAACATTATTTTAGTCAAAATTCTAAATATTGAGGATCCTTCGTATATTTTATCCTTAAAAGAAGCCCAAACTCTAAACCCTAAATTTGTAGAACTTATTTAAGTTATTGGACTGGGTCGGATTGTTAGGTTAACAAGAAAAAAAAAGCAAATAAATATTCATATGTCACAAATTTTTGTGAGTTCAGAACGCTATCTTTGAACTCAGCACATAATTATTTGAAATAAAAGAAAGACGTATAATAATACTTCTCATGTATTTTTTATGGAAAAGATGTAGCCATGCAATATGCTTCTCTAGTCTACTACTCCACTCGTGGCTCCGTTGTCTTGAAAAGGACGGGCGGGATCGACAATACCGCAAAGCCAGTGTGGTGGGAAAGCCAAATCGAAATAGGAAGAGAGCGGAGAAAAGCCCAAAGGATTGTGCCCTTCCGGTTCCCGACCGGTGCTATCCTCTTCTCTTATAATCAGATAATAGATTGGGCATTCCCTTCAAACTTCAGTCCTCACCCTCTCGGCCTCTCCAATTCCAGATAGAAGAGTGTTACAAAATCGCCGTGTGTTGCCGATAACTTCAATAGCTCGATTAATTTTACTCCCATCGGCTTCTCCGGTTCCGGTTTAACCTGACATTGCTCCTTCCTCGCGTCCGCTTGTGATCGGGACCTAGGGTTATAGGGGCTTGGAGGAATGGGAGAGCAGAGAAACCGATGGAGCTGGGATTTACCGCTGTTTGAGCCGAGGAGTTCGTCGGAGCGGGATGATCAGCGGCAGCACACCGCGGTTCGGAAGTTATCGCTTTCGCCGTCGTCACAGTCGCCGCGGGTTGGGTTCGGGAGGCAGTCCGTCAATGAGAAGTTTAACAGGCTAAAAGACCAAGTGAAGGTTCGATTTCTATGGGTTATCTGAAACTTATTTTTTAGTTTTCTTGTTTCATGTGAACTCGGTTGACATAAGGCTGAAAAAAACAGTTGGAATTGGAATGGTTGTTTGGAGAGACCTTAGTTGGTTTTCTGCAGGGTTGGCTAAGTCGTGCTGATGTAGTGACGAGCAATCTGTTGAGTGCTTAATTTAAACTATCTTGCTGACAGCGTTGTACTGCGGGGTAGTAGTAGTTGTGTTTGCAAAGCTATTGCTTTCTTTGATAGGACAAGGGAATACAGTGGTGCATATGCAGTGGTGATAGAAATTATGATTGTGAAAGAAAAATGACGGGAAAACCATGGGACTCTAACGGGGTTTGTTTTCTCCTTGCTCTTAAGGTGTAGCATTTAGATGCGAGTTTGGTAGATCAATTTTTATTTGTCTCTATTTTTTTTTTTGTGAGAGTCGGGGTTTAAAGCAATAATCGGTGCAATTAGTAGTTTCATGCATTGGAAACATGAGAATCTTGTGTTTACTGTGCACATCTTATATCAACTTAGCAAGCGTTAAATTTTGATGGGATGCTGTGGGAATAGAATGCCAAGCCAGAATAGCGATAGATAACCAGGGTGAGTGAGGCATGGTATTGGCTGTCTCCAGATCTCCCTTTTAATAGGAAATAAGTTTTATTTGTCGAAAAATTCAACGAAGTTTATCGTTTCATTTCAGTGAATGCTTGGATATCAGGAAAACATAGAAAATTTGATTGTTTAACAGTTCACTGTAACTGTAGCAACATTTTCAAGTTGGTAGCTAGGGAAGATTTTCCTTTGTCACTTTTTGTTTTACAATACACAAATACATTATTGAAAATCTATTTTATGCCGAGTTTTTGTTTTTATATTTGTCTGGACAATAATATTGGTGGTTTTAGATGCTCTATTTGTAAAGAGCAGGGTTGATATTAAGTCAACTCTGCTCAAATTTGGTTTGATTCACTAAAAAAAAGATTCGAGCTTGAATAAAATGAAAATTGATCCAAGTTGAGCTGATTTAATTCAGAATAATTCAATTGTCTCAAATTGAAATGAATTTTGAGTCACCAAAGGGCCAAAATAGTTCACTTCCCTCCCTTCTCACTTTCCATTTCTCTAAGTCAATTTTCCACCATCTTATCTTCAATAGGTGAGCATGTTTTTTTTAACCAATACAAAATGTGAAAATGATACAACTTTAGTGTTGGTATTTGATTTAATCCTTCTCTATGTTTGGAAACTCTTTGATTACCGCACAATTATATCTTAAGCTATTCAATTCTCAATAATAACAACTTTAACATTCTTTGGTATACACCTTTTTTTTATTTCACATAAAATAAAATCTTGACAGGTGCTCAACTGCCACAATAAGAGTTAGGCTCATGATGACATTACTTTGATTGTCATCATGTTATTAATTAAGCATATAGGTTTTGTGAAGTTCTGTTGCAAGTTTTTACTTCTAATAGAGTTTCATGTGCTTTGAAATTTGATAGAATTAGCATATGTAATGGGTTTGTTCTACCCTTCCATACTTGAACACTTTTACACTTCATATTCCCTTCCACTTTTTGTTCCGTCATTGGTATATCCTCTGTAATGATGTTGTAGACCGTTCATAGGGTTTGTCATTCTTGTGCTTTAGAACTGTAATGCCATTTAAAGCCGCCGCCGCCGCCACCAGCACCACCACAAAGACACACTATGCTTTTACCACCACAAAGACACACATCCTATGCTTTTGAGGACCAGGTTAATTTTTTTGTCTAATAAGGAAGTGCTGGCATAAAAAAAAAGAGGCAAATTAAATGTCATTGGCATATTTTTTTATTTTTTTTAGGAAGTTAATATATAATACAAAATCATCTATATTCTCCTTATTTTGGTTAAGATGAATGTTAAAGCAACAGCTGAAGATTAGCTTCTGTAATATGTTTTGTTAGTTAAGCTTAAGTTTCTTTCACGCCACATTGACGGGGTTACACATGATAATGTATCATTGTGACTTAAAAATTTGGACAGCTTGTTTCAGGTATACTTGATTATATAAAATGATAATTGTGGTTTATTAACATGGACAAATCCTTGTCATCTTACATCGTTGTTATATTTCTTGAGCTTGATATTGGTAATACGAAGCCATGCTGTAATGGCCTTCCTGCAATTGGCTTAAAAAAAGTCACAATATTTTTGTGTTATTTCAATTAAAAGATATGTATTATTCTTATTTTCTAACTTCATTTTATTGACCTTGAAGCGTGCTAGGCAAGACTATTTGGAGTTGAGACATGAAGCCGGTGATCTTAGAGACTATTCAAATGCCAAGCTTGATCGAGTTACTCGTTATCTTGGAGTTCTTGCTGATAGGACTCGAAAGCTAGGTAGGGTAGTGCATGTGAAGCTTTGTTACATGCGTGAAGTTATCCAATAAAGTATCAAATCTATATTTGGATGAACATCTCTTTTCTGTTATATACTATTTGAGATTATATATGGCTAAAATGCATTGTTTCATTAATTATCTTTTTGATTTGTTATATGTTTTGTATCCCGTTCTTTGTTTTGCTACTTAATGTAGTTTATATATATATAGATGCAGGACTAAATGCAAACAAGAAACTTGCACAAAATAATTAGAGAGCAATTTTGGAATTTCGTTATTAGCGATTAAAACAACAAAATAAAACTAATAAGTGGTCACTTTTGTTTAGGCTAAGCCACGCAAGAGACTAAGCGAAATCAAAACATTTAGGAAAATCAAAGCGTTGCATTCGAAGTTTCTAACATAACCTTGGTCTAACAATGAGATCCAAAAGCAAAGAAGTAGCAAACCTACGCTTACTAATGGATGACGATAATTAAACACAATCTCTTGCTTGAACAATCTCGCTACGAAGTAAGTAGAATGTGAAAGTACACGAGTCAAGGAAGAAGATCACCTTCTCGGAGAAGCGTCTTGATACACCACATACCTTCCGTTAGTTTCTCCTCTATAGCCTTGGTCAAAACGAATAGTATGTAGTCGGCGGACTTCTCTATCAACCCATTAATGTTTGTATTCAAGTTGAAGAACGGCAAGTTGAGAAGATCCACGAAAATTTAATTGTCTTACGCAAGGCTGGAATCACGCTCCAGATTGGTCGTTCATCATCAACAACAAAGAGAGAGAGAGCACAATAGAGAAAGGAGGGAGAGAGATGGAGGAGGGAAGGGAGGCCGGTGGCTTGTAGGGGGAAAAAGGTTTAGGGTTTGGATAGAATTAGGTTGAGGGAAAGTAGAAATATTCTCATCTCCAAATCTGAAATTATTTTCAGATTTTGAGTAGATTTGGAGGGAAAACACTTTGAATTTGGATTTCAAAACTCAAGCCATTAAGAGCCTTAATGTAGCATTAAAGGAGTGGAGCCCATACAAGGGGCCGACGACATGGAGAGAGGGGAGAGGGGGGTTTTGTGGAGAAATTTAAATCCCCCTCCTAATTGGTCTCTTTAATTTAGGAGAAGAAAAATTCCACCCAAATTAAATTTGAAATTACTCATGAATGAGATTCAATACTTTCCTAAAATTGCTTTCTAATTTAGGAAACTATTTGAAATTCAAAATTTGAATTTCAAATGATGAAAATAATTTCCCAAATTATCTAAACTCTTTAGATAAGCATTAAGGTGGCATTGTGATGAGGACATCGACAGACGCTACCGACTTGTTTATCGCCGACGAAACCGCAGATCGACGGCCACGATTCATCGCCTCTACTTTTGATTTAGATATCATGATGTATTTTATTATTATCTTGTTTTATTTACTGTCTTTCCATTTTTACCCCTGCGGGGAGTTATTTTGTCATTGTAGCCCAGAGGGCAATTTAGTATTTTCGCTTTGTATGAGTTGAGACCTATATATAGTGGTCTCTTGTATCATTTTGAGTTTAATGAATATTATGAATGAAAATTTTTTTTTATTATCTTGTCTTCTTCTTCTTCTTGTGTGGAGAGTTAGAGAGGAGAACGACAGCCCAAGGTGAGGGCGAAAAACAACACCCACTAGTCATTTCAAGAGTCCGTGACTCGTGGTTTATCCCGTCATCCGCTCCCTTCCCTTCTCCCAACCCGCCGGCCCTAACCCCCTTTTAGCCGCCGGCCATCCCACCTTCCACCATCCAGTGGTAAGCCTCTCGACCGTCGACTTCATTCCCCATCCCCCACGAATTCCAATTTTGAAAATTCAAAATTCGAATTTCAAAACTTTCCAATTTTGGAATT